AGTTTCTAAGACCCCAAGTCTTGCAGCACAAAGGGGACTGGGGATGGCCTGAAGTGGAAGGCTCCAGGGAGGGGATTGGGGGAAACAGGCCGACAGGCGATCCTGTGTGCCCTCTGTCCTTTAAGGGGCTCCAGGGTAGGCCATAGCCCGTCTGGTCGCAGGTTCCTCTGTGCAGATAGCAAGGAGCCCACCAGCCACCCCTCTAAGAGCTCACGGACAGATCATTTGGGGTGTCTGGGCACTCTCCCCAGGACCAGGCCCAGGTAGGTTAGGATAAGTTTGTGCTTTTGTGATGGACAGGCACGGGCCTGAGGCCACGCCCCTGGGCACAGGGTGGGGAGGAAGCAAAGGCCATTTGCCCAGCCCTTACCCACTTCAGCTTGTTGTGACCAATGAGGCACAGCTTCCCTGGTACCCCTCTACCCACAGGAACGACTGCCCGCGACCAGCATTTGGGTCCCCCAGGACCCATCCCCACCCCCCACGTCCCACCAGGCAAAGCTTCTCAGCCCCCAACACTCAGCCTCCAACACTCAGCCTCTCCACCTTCTGGGTCTGAGCCCTATGCAGCCCCACCCTATCCCTGTCTGGAACACCCTTCCAGCTGGGTTTCCTTGTTTTAGGGTCACATAGTTTGCAGACTTGGGCATGTCTCCTGCAACAACCCAGAGAGGTCAGGAGTCTGCTGGGAGCAGCAGCAGGGCACACACAGAGCCACCGGGGGGCTCAGGAAACAGAGACCCCTCCACCGACTGGTGTCAGTCCTATCCTTGAAGCCTGACCATCTGCAGACCACAGGGCCCCTCTTCAGAGCCCACGCTCCTCCCCAGAACCTCCTGCTGCGTGGACGTGCGTGTCTGCCTCCCCTTCACCCACCAGTGCTCAGCCCAGCCAGGCGCCAGACAGACCCGCGGGTGCCCTCATCCCCAGTCCAGGCACCCCCAGGAAAACAATCAGCTCAGGCAGGGAGGTGCTCTGGAACAGGCGGCTTCAGATGTGAGCCCTGAGCTGAGTTTGCTGGGGCAGCAGTTTCTCAGGGAAGGCAGGAGGCTCAGGGCAGCGCAGGGGCCAACCCAGGCCTGCCGACCAAGCTGACCTACTCCACGCCAGCCTCCTGGTGTGCACTCCGAGGCGCTGTCACACAGCCCAGGCATTTAGGTGCTGTCCACCCCCCCCCCCACCCCGCCCCCCGTGCCTACG